GTTTTTTATAAATGAATGGTTCAGGCGTGAAAGAGAGTCAGTTGCTTGGACGGTTTCATGCTGAATGATCCTGAACATCTGGATCATGAATGGTCCCAAAACCATGCTGGCATTAATTTCATGAGCCATAAAACCCGAAAAGTTGTAAATTTTGGTTTGGTAAAATATCTGGAAATCCGTAGTTAGGCTTCCATAAAACAAAAAGAGGAAATTGTTGAAACCTCTCCTAAAGTTTAATAATTGCAATAATCTCTCATGAACTTTTTGATATAGTTGCAAATAAAAATCAATTTCTATGTAAAAAAACAGTACAAATTTTAGGAACAACAAAAAAAAAGAGAATTTAAAATTGCATCTTTAACTTTGAGTGATTGGTATAAAGGGAAGAAAAGTAAATCAATTTTGGAAAAGATGTTGAAAGGGTTTGAGGTAGTGATTCATATGAAGAGAAAATTTGCAAAATAAACAATTTTGCCAAAAGTAATTGTATGGGTATTTTGGACATTTTATATTTCTTTTTAAAAGATTCTACCAGAAGGGGTCTACTTGCAACTGTGTTTAGTTTTTCAAGTGTTTATTGCTTTAAATGTTTATTTGAAAGACGCGTGCTACCTTAAATAATGTTTATTGCTTTTGTTGTTTGGTTGGCCATTTCATGAGCATTCAAGTAATACCCCATAAAGTTACTTTCCACCTTAGACCTTAGATTAACACTCCATAAAGTATGTCATATAAGCATTTCATTTCACAAAACATTGCAGCGTTCAAGGAAACAAGAATTTGGTGTTGCTCCAAATGTCTCATGCACATAAATCCAAGTGTTTATGCTTTTTAATGTTTATTTGCTAAATGTTGAAATCAAACAGTGATTTCATACACAATAAACACCAATGCCTATCTTATGTTGATACATAGAACCAAACATAGTAAGTATTTGGTATAGCTTCCATTTATTAAATAAACATGTGTACTTGATTTATCTTCAAAATTGAGAAAAGTACTTGATAGACTGTTTATTGACAATTAGGCGCCACATTATGAGAATAGTGAATAAACGCTTAACCATTGGGGGAAGCATTAAAATGAACATTCCCCCAATAGTTGGTGCACACATAAATCAAGGCCTACTTTCGTAAATACCTATGCATACAGATCAGCATGATGGGATAAATGCTAATTTGACAATGACATAACACCATTTATCAAATAAATAGAAGTCATACAAAACATTGCCATAGCCTAATTAAAATTCATGGGAGGTATTTACAATTATCGGGGAGATTTCAGCAACAACCATAAACTTCAAGGGAAGATTCAGCAATTTACCCAACAAAAAATCTTGAAACTAAGCAGCTCGGTCAACGCATTTCAATCACCCCATATACCCTACCAAATGGGCTCCGGATCCCAATCAGATTTGTAGGTGCACTGACGCACGCCCACGCAGGTGTGTCTCCATCTCTTGCCAATAAATGCAGTTTCATGCCATTGCCAGTGCATCTAATTACCAAAGCACCCCTCAGTTTGATAAGGACACCTCCTTTCGGTGTGCGTGTCGCACGTGTGTCATAGGATAATACGGTCATAAAATATGAGTTTGCAATGATGATTTCCACGTGCGCATGGTCCATGGGCAGAAGAAGAGAGGAAGGAGCATGTTTGGGAGGTTCTAAGTGTTGTTTGGGACCATGTCCACATAAAGCGAAGCAAACTCCTTTAGTCGCCCACAGAAGCATGTAATTTGCTGAACGAGAGAGGCCTGGTTTTCATGCGGATCCTTTTCTCATTATTCATCACCCCACACCACCAAACAAGCACTCATCCAGGTCTGGTAGAGAATGGTGGTTAGTGGGATCCAAGTAATACACATTTAGCATTTAGGTCACCATCAAGGTGGGGATGGCTAAGCATATTAAAAGGGTTTGCTTTGCCATAAAAAAAGAGCCTCTTCTCTTTGTTCCAGGAGTGGTTCTAGTCTTTAGAGGGGTCCTAGACTGGACTGGACTGGTCTTGTGGCCCACATGGCTCAGCCGAAAGGAGCCACGTGGGCCTTCTGATATGGTTAGGCATAGGCCAATTCTATCTTAGTCAATCAAATTATATATAGTTGGTTGGAGGCTATCATAGTCAACATTCCTAGTGAATGGCACCCAAAATTCAGCTTTCTTTTGTAGGAGGCTCTTTTCTGGTATTACATAGTGCACATTATAGGAGTTTACATCGGCGTCCCACAGGGTGTCCCCACAGGACATTCCAACCATGTATTAAAAATATTTTCTAGTAATAAGTGGAGGAGATGTTTCCAATGTACACTGAAATGTACATGTGAGGCACCTGTGGGGCGCTAATGTGATCTCACATTATAACGTCCACAGGTTTGTTTTCACATTTTTTTGGAGGGACGCGGAATTACCATCTCAACTATTGAATCATCGGCTTCTTGGAGGTTGTCTGAAAGCAAATCTTAATACAAGCAGTATAAGGCAAACTGTGTAGGATATCGATTGGGTGTGGGCCAATCTTGTTGCCGACTTGTCCAATTGCTGTCATTTTTCCATAGTTGCTAAGTATGAGTCAGAAAACCAGGTTGAGAGCAAGGTAAGTCATCCTAAAAGGCCCCTCTAGGTCAATCCCAAGGAGGGCCAAGCCAAAAGCTTGTTGGATCTAGTCAAACAACACAACCACCCCATAAAGAAAGAACAGTAAAAGAGCTTTTCTGTGTGTCAAAGTTTTGCTTTGAAGATATCATGTCAAAGGAAGAAAGTTCACTTTAGCCTATTGGAGTTTGGAATCTAATGTGATTTGTTCAGATTTTTTTGGGGCAAAAGAATATGTCGCTTATGTTATATAACTTGAAGGTATATATGGCAGTTGTTTATCTACACTGTCTGAAAGCCTAGCCTCTCTCTCTCTCTCTCTCTTATATCTTTCCATGTTGAATAGCTAGACAAGCACATAAATTTCTACAGTTAGTGGTTTGAATTACTTTGGTAGTTGCTTCCATTTTAGTGATGTAACTATTAATTTCCTCGAGGAAGTGGAAAGGTATTCAGGGTTCAAATGATGGCATCACTATCACTTAGATTGACCCTTCAATCGGCCGGGTCCAACGTCTAACTTGTGCTTTCTTTTCTGACACTACTTTCAGTGACCCTTATTCCTCTAGGGGTAGGCTTCAATAGTCAATGTTTCCATCAATTTACGAGTCCAGGTCTGTTTTTTACAGAGTGCACTTCACACCAATCTCACAGTATGTTTTGATTGTATATTGGAAATAATTATCATATTTGTATTTATTATTCATGGGGAGATGTTCCCTATATAGGGTGGGATGTGGCTGTAAGGAGACACTTTATGAGAAACAGATCCCAATTCTCAATTCACCCCAATTGACTTTCATAAGCATTAACAATTTCTTCTCTTATTATGTGATATTGCTTAAATGTGTTGAGATCACATAAGAAATCACCTATGAATATGAACACATTTTAACTCCTTAAAATTGACAGAATCTCAATAAAGAGTTTCTTCTTCTTCTTCGTTGAAACCATCCCAATCTTCTGCAAATATCGGTGTAATCAACTCACAAATGGAGAAAAAACAATCTAACTTTTTTTTCTTATTTCTAGTCTTTCTATATGATCTAGATAAAAGAGAACAATACAAAAACAAAAAATAAACAAAGTAGGAGAGAAGGGTTTGTACTTTGTATCAAACAAAACTAAATATTTTAAGGAACACTAGGATCAAGAAATGGATATACAACTTCCGACAAGTCAACAAGCATCTCGTAAACTGCCTTATCACTGGTGGGCAAAGATGATAAAACCCTAATCGTTGAGTTAAAGAAATGTAGAGAGTCAAACGCCACCCCAATACATTCATCCCACCACCCATGTGATGTGATGATGATCTTTAGTGGGCTTCCTTCAACTCCCAATATTAATTCACTTTTCTTCTCCAAACAAGAAACCCTTTTGATTCAACATCACATCTCCGCCCCACAATGTCCTATAACACATCCCCGACGTATATTATGAATATCTTTCGATGATATATCAGTCTTAATGATGTTATCATCAAAAGATGATATATTGTGGGACGGTCTCTTTTGATTCCACATTTAATTGATGGTGCCGTCATGCTCATGCGTTCGTGAACAAACCCATCTACAGAATCCCAGACCCAACTGGTTGTCAGTTTCAGTTCCGTGAATCAAATGGTTTTTATATTCTGATCTGATTATGGGTTCTTTTTATATGTAAACTAAATTACTAAACTCAGGAATCCCTTCCCATCATAACGACTTATTGGCCGGAGGATCAAGAAATGAAATGATTGATTGTCATTAAAGTGGACCCACATAGAAAAACATGCTTTTGGTTCCCATCAATCAGTCACCTGAATTGGCTCAATTCCATTTGTTAGCCTTTTATTTAAGTCATGCGCGACTGATGCTATCATTTCAATATTCTTCCTTTTTAATTTTCCAAATAAAAAAAAAAAGTTGGAAAATGGAAACGCTCCAAAAATTTCCAAAAGCTCTGCTCTACCTGATTGATAGATTAATTATCCCAACCCTCTAGAGACGTATTGCCTTACAGATGCACACGTGCGTTGGTTCTACCTTCTACGGCATTTTTCTTTCTTCTTTTGTCGTCGTCCGCATGTGCTTACCACCATTAACTTTAATCCCTTTAATTCACACAATTAAACAAACACATTAATACAAATTATTTGAAAGGAGAAATCTGAAAGAATCAAAAGGATCTTCAATCTTCATCTTCTCCTTTAAAAAGATTCAAAACAAAGTAAAAGAATAACAAAGTATAATTTTATTTACCCACTTTTTTTTTATAAGTGCAGAAATAAAGGTTCTACCTTTCTCACTTTCCAACGAGTCCTAATCTGCCCCTACCAGCTTGCGCCCAAAAAAACGTCCCACAGCGTTAGAAGTGGCCACGTGTCCTCCCACACGCATAAGTTTCATTATCGTGCGAAGCTAAAAGGACGGCCGTTAACTCCTATTTCACCTAAATCCGGATGTCACTCCCTTTAGCTAACAGGAGTTCGATCTCCTTCCAACTCTCTCTAGCCTACCAACAACTATACTCTCTCTCTCTCTCTCCATCAGTTGCAATCTTTTCTTCTTAGACTATTTTGTAAAGCCTTCAAAACATCCCACGAGCCTCTACGCCTACATCTTCAAACTTCTCTTTTATCCTTATCCCTGCAACTCCACTCTTCAATTATTTTCTTCTCTTTGTCTTCTCCACGCCTTCAGTTCTTCTCTCACATCATACCCAGTAGGCCAGTACCCACCACATAACATTTCATTCCTTCTTTCTCTCTGTAACACAGAAGCAATCATAATACTCAATTCTTCATCTCCATCTTCTTCGACTTTCAAATCCATGGCTCTGGAGACATGGCTAATTAAGGTGAAGACCGCGATCTCTAACGGCCTTGATGCAGTTCGGACAACTACAGCAACCAAGATGGGTAAGAAATCTAATGTTGGTGTCTTGGCTTTTGAGATCGCCGGGCTTATGTCCAAACTCGTCCAGCTCTGGAAATCGCTCTCCGACAAGAACCTGATTCGCCTAAGACACGAATCAATTGCTCTTGAGGGAGTCCGCAAGATAGTCTCCAACGACGATGCTTTCCTGCTCAGTCTCGCCTGCGCCGAGATGGTGGAGAACTTGAGGCTTGTAGCTAAGTCTGTGTCCAGGCTCGGAAGGCGGTGTGATGACTCGGGTCTCCGGTGTTTCGATCGCTTGTTCCAGGAATTCGCTAACTCGGGCCACGACCCTCATTGCTGGGTTCTGCCTTGGAAGGAGATGGAGGCCAAACAGAAGAAGATGGATCGATATGTCACGCTGACTGCATCCCTTCACAGAGAGATGGATGGGCTTTCGGATGCCGAGCACAGTTTGAGAAAAGTCCCCCAATGTAGCGACATGGACCCGTCTATCAAAGAGAAGAAGATTGTTGATCTGCAACAGAAGCTCTTCTGGCAGAGACAAGAAGTGAAGTATCTCAAAGATAAATCTCTCTGGAGCCGAAGCTTTGATACAGTCACGATATTGCTTGTAAGGTCGATCTTCACTGTTCTAGCAAGAATCAAGCTTGTTTTCGGAATTGGACAAGGATGTCTACCAAACAACAGTTCTTCCTTGTCACGAAGCCTTTCTGTGTCTGCGGCCATCCACCCCTCCGAGAACCCAACTTGTAAATTTGTCTCAGGGCCATTGATGACGACATCCAAGCATGACGAGAAGGAAAACCAAGATCTCAGTCATGGATTCTTTGAGGCGAACACCAAGGTTCTAAAACCAGCGCCGAGTACACTAGGCGCGGCAGCTCTTTCTCTACACTACGCAAATTTGATCATTGTGATCGAGAAGATGATCAGATCACCTCAACTGGTTGGCGTCGATGCCAGGGACGACCTCTACGGCATGCTTCCCACTAGCATAAGATTGTCGCTGAGGGCTAGACTGAGAGGAGTTGGGTGTTGGGCAAGTGATCCGGTGCTTGCCGGAGAGTGGAGAGATGCATTAGGAAAGATCCTGGGTTGGTTGTCACCGTTAGCACACAACATGATAAAATGGCAGAGCGAACGTAGCTTCGAACAACAGAATTTGATGCCCAAGACCAACGTTCTTCTTCTACAGACGCTCTATTTCGCAAACCAGTCGAAGACCGAGGCCGCCATCACCGAGCTGCTTGTGGGTCTAAATTATATATGGAGATTTGAGAGGGAGATGAATGCTATGGCCTTGTTCGAATGCTCCAAGCTCAATGGTGTCGCAAATTTGCAGAGTTCAAGTTAAGGGGACGATTTTTCTTTTCCTTTGGATCTTCCATTTCTTTCTTTCTTTTTTCTTCTGATCATGGTTTAATTAGATTGATCAGCTTCTTTGCTTCTTATTTATGGGGTGTTTGCTGGTTTTCTGCCAACCCTTATGTATAATGTTAATATAGAATTACAAACGATGTGTAAATAGAATAAAAAGAGTGTTGCTTTAAACTTAATGTTTAATCAACTGAAATTCATGTTCTTCTCAGTAAACTACTATCTGTTCTCTTTTGGTGCATTAATTATCCAGATTCCATTCTAGTGATCTTAAGTAAGAAAATTATTTACAAAATGGCTTTGTTCGATTACTAATTAAACTGCAATTATGCAAATAAGAGTAAGTCAGTAAGACACCCCTGAACTCCATGACATAAACCAAGAAACTCTTCCCAGCACACAATCTTCAGATCCACTGATTCCGACGCCAATGCCGATTAAAAAAATGAAGACACGCAATCAAAGACAGAGAGAATTTCAGTAGTCTGTTTAATGTGTAGGAGATCGGGAGTCCCCGATAACTGCCCAAGAAGAAAAGGTGAAAAAAAAATGTACTTAGTGCTTGGTTCTCAGGGCCTCAGGCCTCGGTCTGACTCTGACATACTATCGCCATGGGCTTTGTCCAGGCTTCACCAACGCTGAAGAAACGCAAAAAGAAAGGCAGACACCAAGATAATTTAGGGTCACCCACTGCTGTTTGACGTGGCCAACTTCATGGCCACGTGGCAAATCCTCTTAGATAATCGAGGATTGGCATATCTTCCATGGACACAAATTGTTGTAGAACATGGAGCTAGTAGGGCTGAATTCTGAAAATTGGAGTTGGGAGTGGGATATATAGGAAAAACGTTTTGGCTGTCTAAGTTTGACAGCCTGTGATGTCCATAGGACTCTCCCTGTGCGACACGTTAGGCCATGCAACAGTAACAGTGATGGAGGCATATGGCTATGTCTATGTCTATATGGAGTAAGGTGCCATGTGGACAGAGCCTGTGAGCATAGCCGCACAGGCTGTCAAGTGTGGACGGTCAAAGTTTTCTCCATGTATAGGGCCTGATCCTTTAGGCCCACCATCTTTGGCCACATTGGACCAGTGATACTGACTTGGCCTGTATTTGTTAGGATCTAAATGTCTGAACCCAACCAAGCCCATTGAGTGTCCCTAAACGTCCAGCCTTAATTCTAATCTTTCTAGACAAAGTTGAGCCTTTCCAGATTCCATCTCCCCAAACAAAATGTTGCCAACTGCTTGAGATTTCAACCCACTTACCCACCGAAGTGTGCATCGGTTTTGCTTTGGTCCCTCCGCGTGGCAGCTAAGACGGATTATAGAATGTGTTAAATTACCAAAATGCCCTCCTAACTTTCATTTTTTCTTTTCCTTGCCCTTTTCTCTTAAATCTCAATTGACCAAAAATGCCTCCATTTCTCCAAACAAAACCAGCTAAAACAATAAGAATCATTTTATAGGCATAGAAAAAAAAAATTCAAATGGGTAAATCACAAAGAACACCCTAAACTTTCACTTTGTGACAAATAGCCCCTCGATTAGAGTTAACTTCAAAAAAAAAATTATCAGTCAGTTATTTAAATTTTTTAAATCTTCAAACTACCCTTTTCTTGTTTATTTGAAGGGTAAAATAGAAAAATCTCCCCTGAAGTTTCTGACAATCATACAAACATCCCCTATAGTTTCATTTTAACAAATACCTCCCTTGAACTTTTGAGAAACTCAACAAAAACCTTCCTTCTGTCACTGTCCCAAACGGAAAATGTTAGATTGATGCACCAGTTTTTTTCCAAATACCCATTTTGCCCTTTTATAAATTATTTTATATACAAAATTACTAAAATATGTTTTTCTGTTGGGCTAAAATGGGATTATTTCAGTAATTTTGTATGTAAAATAATTTATCAAAGGGTAGAATGGATATTTGGAAAAAAAACTGGTGCATCAATCTAACATTTTCCGTCTGGGACAGTGACGAAAGGGAGGTTTTTGTTGAGTTTCTCAAAAGTTCAAGGGAGGTATTTGTTAAAATAAAACTATAGGGGAGATTTTTATGATTGCTAAAAACTTCAGGGGAGGTTTTTGTATTTTACCCTTATTTGAATGAGTTGTGATTTGATTAGTTTTCTAAATATAACATTGAAGCCCTCTAGTTGCTCTAATAGATCCTTGCAGATTTCTAGCTGGAATTGGTATTCAAATGAAACAATAGAGGTTTCTTTCTGATAAACATAAATTTATGGTTTCATTTGGTTTTTCTTGATTTAGTGAAGAAAGGAGTGGATAATTTTTATATTTTAATATGAAGAGAGAAATTCATGCAAGTGAAATGAATCAAGATTTTGAAAAAAAAAAAATCTATGCTAGTGAAATG